GGAGCCCACCAAAATGGCCGAAGGTGGCTCGCAGCTGGCCCAAGACGGCCCAAGAGGCCTCCAAGAGGGCCTCCAGGAAGGCCAGAAAAGGCCAAAAACATTGTTTTTCCTTTGGTTTGTGAAGGATTTAGTCATTTGCTTCTTTTCGGCCTTCCGACGGCTCAAGACGGCCCAAGAGCTCCCAAAGATCGCCCAAGGATCGCCCAAGAGGCCTCCAAGATGGCCCCATGACGGCCCAAGAGGCCCCCAAGACGGCCCCAAGACGGCGCCAAGACGGCCCAAGAGGCCTCGAAGACGCCCAAGATGGCCTCTAAGACGGCCTTGGAGCACCCCAAGAGGGCTCCAAGTCGGCCCAGAAAAGGCCCCCGAAACGGCTTCCGACGGCGTCAGACGGGCCAGGAGCCCACCAAAATGGCCGAAGGTGGCTCGCAGCTGGCCCAAGACGGCCCAAGAGGCCTCCAAGAGGGCCTCCAGGAAGGCCAGAAAAAAAGCCAAAAACATTGTTTTTCCTGTGGTTTGTGAAGGATTTTGACATTTGCTTCTTTTCGGCCTTCCGACGGCTCAAGACGGCCCAAGAGCTCCCAAAGATCGCCCAAGGATCGCCCAAGAGGCCTCCAAGATGGCCCCAGAACGGCCCAAGAGGCGCCCAAGACGGCCCTAAGAGGTCCCCCAAACGGCCCAAGATGCCTCCAAGACGCTCAAGATGGCCTCCAAGACGGCCCACGAGCCCTCCAAGATGTCCTCCAAGAAGGCCCAAAAGAGTCAAAATGGCCTCCAGGCGACCAAGATGACCTTCAAGATGCCCACGTGTTCCCCGAAGGATTTCCAAACCGATTCGGGGAACGCATGGTCTGATAGCTTGGCAGGTCTGGCCTCAACGTTCGGCCACATAGGCGCTTCCACAAAGGCAGGGGGCGGCGGTGATTCGCCGCAGGCGTCTTCGATATAGGTGTGTGTGTATATATATATATATATATATATATATATAATATATATATATATATATATATATAAACCCGCCGCCCCCTGTCGATTCATCGCAGGAATGCCTGGTGCGCTAGACTTCTTAGTTTTTGGTGTTGGTTCTTCTTACGAAAGAACTTCCCCTGGGGTTCCGGCGCGCCCCGCCGGCCACCTGGAAGGATGCTGAAAAATTGCCCGGAAGTGGTTGCCAAGGGCTTTTCCGTTACAAACGGCTCCAAGATGGCCTCCAAGACGCCTCCAAGACGGCCAAGATAGCATCCACGACGGCGGCTAAGATGGCCCCGAGATGCCCTCAAGACGGCCCAAGATGCACCCAAGACGGCCTAAGATGGCCTCGAGATGGGCAAAACGGACCAAGAGGCCTCCAGGATGGCCCCAGAACGGCCCAGGAGGCCTTTTAAGACGCCCAAGATGGAATCCAAGACGGCCCTGGAGCATTCCAAGAAAGCCCCCAGGCGGCCCAGAGAGACACCCCAAACGGCTTCCGACGGCGTCGAAAGGGCCAGGAGCCCACCAAGACGGCCGAAGATGGCCCAAGAGGCTTCCAGGGCCTCCAGGAAAGCCAGAAAAAGGCCAAAATCATGGATTCCCCCAAAAATTGTTTGAAGGATTGTGGCATTTTTTTTTCCTGCCTTCCGACGACCCGAGACGGCCGAAGTGCCCCCAACGATCGCCCAAGGCGGCCCCAAGAGGCCCCCAAGACGGCCCACGAGGCCTCCACAACGCTCAAGATGGCCTCCAAGACGGCCCAAGAGCCCTCCAAGACGACCTCCAAGAAGGCCCAAAAGGGTCAAAGTGGCCTCCAGACGGCTAAGATGACCTTCGAGATGAAGGCTTTCCATACCGATTCGGGGAACGCATGATCCGATAGGTTGGCAGGTCTGGCCTCAACGTTCAGCCACATAGGCGCTTCCAACAAGGCAGAGGGCGGCGGTGTTTCGCCGTGGGCGTTTTCGATGTTTCTCTCTCTCTCTCTCTCTATGTTTCTCTTTTTCTCTCTCTCTCTCTCTCTCTATATATATGCATTTATTTGAATATAAATATATACAAATACATATACATACATATATATATATACACACACCTATACGACCACCCTGCGGGTGATAAGGAGGTTGTGGGGGGGGGGAGGGGGGGGGCTCATGACGACAACTATGGTGAATGTGGTGCTGATGGCCGATGATGGTGTGGATGACGTGGCGGATTGTTTCTTTGTTTTTTCGCTTGGGCGTTTTGTGTCATTCGGTTTGCCGCTGCGCGACGCGGCACTCACCCCACGACGGTCCAGTCGATCTCACTATCGATCTCACGACAGGAAACCGACGGGCCACCGACGGGACAATGCGGGCTCGATCTTTCAATCGATCTCATAATCGGTCTCACTATCGATCTCACAATCGTTCTCACAACCGATCTCAAGATCGATTCCACTATCGATCTCACATTCGATCTCACAATCGATCTCACTTTCGGTGCCCTTACCAATTTCACGATCGATCTGACTATCGCTCTCACTATCGATCTCATTATCCATCCAACATTCGGTCTCACATTCGGTCTCACAATCGATCTCACTTTCGGTGTCACTATCACTTTCACGATCGATCTCACGATCGATCTCACGACAAAACAACGGCGGGCGACCGACGGGACAATGCGGGCTACCGCTTGACACGCGCCAGCGGGGGAACCATTTATATTGGCGAACCAGTAGCGACAGACAGGACAACGGCGGGCGACCGACGGGACAATGCGGGATACCACTTGACACGCGCCGGCGGAGGAAACATTTATGTTGGCGAACCACTAGCGACTGACATGACAACGGCGGGCAACCGACGGGACAATGCGGGCCACCGCTTGACACGCGCAGGCGGGGAAAACATTTATGTTGGCGAACCAGTAGCGACAGACAGGACAACGGCGGGCGACCGACGGGACAATGCGGGATACCACTTGACACGCGCCGGCGGAGGAAACATTTATGTTGGCGAACCACTAGCGACTGACATGACAACGGCGGGCAACCGACGGGACAATGCGGGCCACCGCTTGACACGCGCAGGCGGGGAAAACATTTATGTTGGCGAACCAGTAGCGACAGCAGAATGAATTCCTCTCGCCCGCGCACGCAACTTCGCCTCGCCCGCACGCACAAACGAACACGAAACCGAAACCGATTTCCCGGAGGGCTCTCCGTTCCACTTCGATATCACCCCCCATCCTCCGATATATATATATATATATATATATATATATATATGTATATATATGTATATATATATATATACATATGTGAACCGCCGCGGGCATCGACCTCGATCGAGAAGAAGAAGAGGAGATGGACGAGGAGGAGGAAGAGGAGGAGGGACAAAAAGAAGATTTCGTCGTCGCCGCCGATGTCTCACAGATTTTCGTTGTCCTTCGACCACCCGAGGCATCTCCTCGAATTCAGCCTCCAGGAACCGTTTCGGTGCCAGAGACCGCCGCCGAAGTCCAGGATGAGGATCGACCTCCCTGGCTGGCGCCACCCCATTCGCAAAGGAAGGACCACGGGGTGGATCGAGGCTCGAGGCATGAGACTCTTAGTTCTTGGGCGCTCTCCGCCTCTTCTGGGCCTTCAGGAAGCTCCTCGTCGACGCAGCTGGGTCCACTCTCGAACTTCTGGCCGGACGCAACCCCAGCTGGGTCTCAACGATCCCCGAGCCTATCCAGGAGGTGGAAAAGGAGGCCTGGGACAGGCCCCGTGAACGCCCCAAGAAACTTACACAAGATTACGAAAACTTCAAAACAACCCCCCGACAAGGCCCCCCCTTTAACCCCACACGCTACGTAGGACAGGCAAAAACCCCAAGATTGCCCAGCGATCGCGCGCGTTCCGCGAATTCTGTCTTTCACTCTTGCTGCCGCCCCAAGGGGTCGGCGGTGCGGCGTAAGCGAATGAATCAAGAGAAAACCGCGCGGTTTGTCAAGGACTCGTGCTCTTGCTCTGTATATCCCATGTTGATCCTGGCCGATACACAAGCAGTCGATTGCATTCTTCCGTGCAGCACCAATTCTCATGGATCAAGAAAGGGGATAAAAGCAAATCCGCTCAACATATGTCCCCGAACCCCTCCCGGGTTCATCTGGCGCACTTTCTCGCCCAGGATCCGTTTTGGAGACGTTCCCAGGCGGCCCCTGGGAACTGAAGACGGACAAAATCCCTCTCGAACCCAGAAAATCGAACTCCCCCTTCCTACTGGCCAGAACCGGTGCTGGGCCACCTAAGGACCTAAGACCCCCAGCTGGGTCCAAGACAAGACAACGGAGGAGGAGGAGAAAGGGGGAAAAGTGTGGTGGTGGTGGTGGTGGTTTTGGAACTCGGCTGTTGGTCTGTCTGCTTTGCTTAGTGCTGCTCTATGACTGCAGTGCGCCACACGTGGGGTGCAAACAATCCCAAGTGTGCGTATCGGGCACCCTCTGGCGACTGGCTATCCAATCTGGGGACACCTTGGATAACGTCAGAGGCGAGATGTCCGACCGAATCACCCATGAAAAGAAGCAGTGCACGATTACCCTAGGCCTCAGGGTGGGAGCAAGACGGCGTCTCAGGAGGAGGAGGGAGGAGGGAGAAGGAGGAGGGAAGATCGGGTCGGGCGAAAGGGGGGGATAGCCAAGGGGGGGTTTGAGAATCAGCTCACGTAGCTGACTTTCCCGGCGCCTCCCGGCGCCGGAAGCGGCTATGTATCGAGGAATGGGCCCCTCGGTGAGGCCGAAACCAGCTGCATGCAGCAGATTTCGTAACCCCCCCTTTCCCAATCCCCCCCTTTCGCCCGGCCCGAGAAGAGGGAGGAGCGAGGAGCGAGGTGGAGGGAGGTGGAGGAAGGGAGGAGGGAGGGAGGGATGAGGGAGGAGGGAAGAGGGAGGAGCAGGGAGGAGGGAGGAGGGAGGAGGAAGGGAGGGAGGAGGAGGGAGGGAGGAGGAAAGAGGGAGGACGGGGGCGCGAGGAGGGAGGGAGGGGAGCCCCGCCCAGCCTGGCCCTGGAAGCCCTTGCCGCCGGCGAAGCCGCCGCCGCACCAGCCGCCCCCCGCTGCGCCGCCAAAGCAGCCCCCCTTGCCGCCCTGGGAGGCGCGGCGCTCCTCCGTGCCCCCCTCCACGGAACGACGACGACGACGACGACGACGACGACGACGACGACGACGACGACGACGAGGTCGACGACGACGACGAGGTTGACGACGACGACGAGGTCGACGACGAGGACGGCGAGAACGACGACGAGGGCGACGACGACGAGGGCGAGGGCGACGACGAGGGCGACGACGACGAGTCTGAGGACGACGACGTTGACGACGACGGCGCCGACGACGGAGTTCTGCCAAATTTACCTGCGTTTCCCTCCCCCTCCCCTTTCCGCCGCCATTTCAAACAACGCTGGGCCGAAAAGCCGTGCACTTGAGCCCCGACTTGCGCGAAGTCCATTCAAGGCCTCCTGGATGGGGTCCGACTTGATGGGGTCGCATAATTGCATCGAGTCGCCAGTGTTCCGTCGATGCATCGTCGATGCATCGGCGACGGCGGCGTGGGGAACATCGGGCTCCGCATCTAAGCGCATGACCGATGCATCGGCGGTGCGGCGCGATCCTCTGGCCCCATCTGGGAGGCCTAGACCCATCTCCCCTGAGACCTGCCCTCCAAGGGCGTCCAACGGGAAATCCGGCACCCCTGGCGCGTCCAACAAGACGACGGGGGACGAGAAGGCGATCCCAGGAGGAGGTCGAAATCAGGGTTCGACCTGAATTGTATGTTCCGTCTTCGTTTTGATGGGGTTGTCTCCACCAGGGGAAGATAATCTTAGATATTGGAGAGAGCGTGATGCACCGCCGCTTTACTCTGGAAAATTCACCCCCCCTCTTCCTCCGGAACCCGGGGGCCCCCCCCCCCCCTTCCGAAAATCCCCCCCCCGCTGAACACCTCCCCCCTCCCCTCCCCCGGCAAAACCCCCCCCCTCCCCAACCCCCCCCCCCCCTCCCCCTCGAAAACCGGGGGGTCACTACCGGTCCCCCCCCCCCCTTGAAAACTGGAGGGGGGTCACTACCGGTTCGAACCCCTCCCCCCCCCCCTTCACCGCCAGCAAACGACTCCCGGTCCCTACCACCGTCCGCACCACATCCCCCCACTGTTGTTCCCAGCACCAGTGTCCTCACCAACACTGTCCTCACCACCACTGTCCCCACTGGTTCCATCACCGTCCCTACTGTCCCCACCAGTGCCCCCACCGCTGTCGCACTGTCCCCACTGTCCCCACCACTGTTCCCACCGCGGTTCCACTCTCCCCACTTTCTCCACAGCCCGAACCACTGCCCGACTTTCCCAACTTTCCCTTTATCCCGCTGACTCCTCCGCTGTCCCACTGAGCTGCCCCACTGTTCCCACCACTGTCCCCACTGTCCCCACCACTGTCCCCACTGTATCTCTGCCCCATTGTCCCACCGCCGTCCTCGCCACCGCCTTCACCACTGTCCCCACCACCACTGTACCCTCCACTGTCCCACTGTTTCCACCACATCACATTCCTACTGTCCCCACACCACTGTCCCCACCACCACCGTCCCCACCACTGTCCCACTGTCCGCACTGTTCCCACCATTGTCCTCACCACTGTCTCCACCACTACCGCCGTCCCCACCACTGTCCCACTGTCCCCACCACTGTCCCGCTGTCCCCAAACCACTGTCCCCACCACCACCGTCCCCACCACTGTCCGCACCCCCTCCGGTTTTCGGGGGGGGGGGGCGGGTTCGAACCGGTAGTAACCCCCCCTCGGTTTTCGAGGTGGGGGGGTTCGAACCAGTAGTGACCCCCCCCTTTTCATGATGGACTGGGGGGGGGAGGGGTTCGAACCGGTAGTGACCCCCTCCCCCCGGTTTTCCGGAGGGGGGGGGGGTCGAACTGGTAGTGACCCCCGCTGGTTTTCCGCCAGCAGCGGTAGAACACGCTCTTTCAGATATTGACGTTGATGGTAATATCCTGGTCACCTAGGAAGCACGAGTATGACCACCATCACCGCATCGGGATCATCTTCCCTCGGTGGACGTACTCGGCCGACATTGGTGTTGGTGCCAGCCTCTCAGACTCCAGAACTGTTTCCCGCTTCTCTCGCTGTCTTCGTCCCACCTTTGCTTTGGACACCCGAAATGGATACGGACAAAAATCGCTACGATGCCCAACGACAATGCCCCAAACCGACAGCGGCTACGTTGGGCATGCGGCCTTCTGTCTCAAATGGACACCGTCCGCAGCGACGTTTGCTCCCCAACCATCCTGTGGTGTTAGATCCTCGGTTTGAAGAGACAACGTCCCGCGTCCATCCTCTCCTCCTTCTCCCCTTCTCCCTCCTCCCATCCTTTGCTTCTGCCCTCCGCATGTCTTAGTCGTCGTCTCCCCCACCCAGCACAGCGCTTCGTGGCCCAATGGGGAGCTCCACCGAATGCCCCACTGGCGGAGTCCACATGCGTCTCCCCCACCTAGCACAGCGCTTCGTGCCCCCATAGGGAGCTCCACGTAAGGCCCCAGTGGCGCTGCCCACTTGCGGTTCCCCCATCCAGCAGCGTTTCGTGGCCCCTTAGGGAGCTCCACCTGAGGCCCCAGTGGCGGTGTCCACATGCGTCTCCCCCACCCAGCACAACGCTTCGTGGCTCCATAGGGAGCTCCACCTAAGGCCCCAGTGGCGGTGTCCACATGCGTCTCCCTCACCCACTACAGCGCTTCGTGGCCCCACGGGGAGTTCCACCGAGGGACTACTGGCAGTGTCCACATGCGCCTCCCCCATCCAGCACAACGTTTCGTGCCCCCGTGGGGAGCTCCACTCGAGGCCTCAGTGGGGTGTCCACATGCGTGCCTCCTATCCAGCACAACGGTTCGTGGCCCCATAGTGAGCTCCACCTAAGACCCCAGTAGCGGTATCCACATACGTCTCCCCCACCCAGCGCTGCTTTTCGTGGGCCCGTGGGGCTCTCCACCTAATTAGCCTAAGGCTCCAGTGGCGGTGTCCACATGCGACTCCCCCACCCAGCACAGCGCTTCGTGCCTCTATGGGAAGTTTAACCTGAGGTCCCAGTGGCGGTATCCACATGCGTCTCCCCCACCCAGCACAGCGTTCTGTGGCCCCCTAGGGAGCTCCACCGGAGGCCCCAGTGGCGGTGTCCATATGCGTCTCCCTATCCAACACGGCGCTTCGTGGCCTCAGAGGGAACTGCACCTAAGGCCCCAGTGGCGGTGTCCACATGCGTCGCCCCCATCCAGCACAGCGCTTCGACACCGTCCACATGCGTCTTTCCCACCCAGTACAATCCTTCGTGGCTCCATGGGGAGCTCCGCCGAAAGCCCTAGTGGCGGTGCCCACATGCCTTTCCTCCACCCAGCACAAAGCCTCGTGGCTCCGTAGGGAGTTTCACTTAAGGCCCCAGTGGCGGTGTCCACATTCGTCTCCTCCACCCAGTACGGCGCTTCGTGGCCTCAGAGGGAACTCCACCTAAGGCCCCAGTGGCACAGTTCTCATGCGTCTCCCCCACCCACCACAGCGTTTCGTGGCCCATGGGAAGCTCCACCCAAGGCCCCAGTGGCAAAGTTCGCATGCGTCTCCCCCACCCAGCACATGGTTTCGTGTACCATAGGAAGCTCCACCAAAGACGATACCCAGAACTGCGGTATTCATAACTGCATATCGTTGGGTCCTTCGCCAGGCTAGTTTCCCCCTGGAGGAGCGCGAGGGCGCAGAGAAGGGTAAAAGCCGCCCTAATGCCAACACCTGTGCACGCTGATGAGAGGCGCTATGTAGGGTCAGCAGAGGGCGACCTCTGCCGTGGGGCTGGCGGCAACGAGCGACCCGGCTGTGGGTCCACCAGCACGGGTGTGATGACCTCTTAGGGGCAATCCTAGAGACCCGAAAACCTCGAAGGCACGCCAGGGAGCGACGCGGAAAGGTGGCAATGGCGAGCCACCAGAAGTGGGTTGGCCCGCGCCCCCCCCCCACATTCCACCGCTGGAAAGGGCACCGGCAAGGCAAGGGACGGGTAAGGACAAGGGGGCAAGGAGGAGGAGGAGGAGGAAGAGCATGAGGAGCAAGAGGAGCAGGAGCAGCAGATTGGTGGCAGCATCCGTCATTTCGCTCAGGGGATCTGGTCGCGTCTGAAGGCCTCTCAGACCATCAGCGGATCAGTGGCCCAGGAGGCATGGGGGGGAGCCTCTCACCTCTCGGCACTCTCCTGTGGCCAGGTTGCTATGAGGCGCTCGCGCTTCCCCGAGGGACTTCTTCAGCAGATGACGATCGGGAGGCAACTCCCGGGGGGTCTCCGCTGGAGCGACTTTAATCTTGAAGGGGCCCTGAGACACACAAATAAATACACACAAATAAAAGGATTCCCCATATTTTCCCATATGTTCTGGGTTTCTGTCTTCCCCCCCACCTCCCATATTCTCCCATATGTTCTGGGAATAATGGTGTCTGTGTGTTTTATCCCCTCCTGAAATCTGAACGGCCACTTCGCCGGACCAAGGCGACAGGCTCGCTGGGCTCCTCCTCCTCCTCCGCCTCCGCCTCCGCCTCCTCCTCCTCCGCCTCCTCCTCCTCCGCCTCCTCCTCCTCCGCCTCCGCCTCCGCCTCCTCCTCCTCCGCCTCCTCCGCCTCCTCCGCCTCCGCCTCCTCCTCCTCCGCCTCCGCCTCCTCCTCCTCCTCCCGGCGGCCCCGCCGTCGAGGCGACGGGGCTGCCCCGGCTGGCGCTGTCGGGGGGCCCAGGGCGCGTGGGATCAAACTGGATTGCGCTGGACTCGCCGGGCTCGTGCGGGGTCATGCCGGACTGCGCCGGACCCGCCCAGACGAGCCCGGCTGTGGACCGCGGAACTGACAGCGCCGATAGAGAACGGAGCCTCCCAGGAGTTGCATCCCAGTACGAGGAGGAGGGAGGGGGAGGGAGGAGGGAGGGAGGAGGGATGGAGGGAGGAGGGATGGAGGGAGGAGGGAGGAGGGAGGAGGGAGGAGGGAGGAGGGAGGGAGGTGTGCCCCCAGAGGGGTGCCTCGGTGTCTGGCGGTGCACCGGGGCCCTGGGGGAACTTCATTCCGCCCCTTCCCCTGGATGAGCAGGTCTCCTGACGAGCAACCCAGCCTTCCCGGCCGGGGGTCCCTCGCCTGGGAGTCTTGTCCGGGGGACCGGCTGTGCCGTGCCTCTCTTCTTAGCCTCCCTGGTTGCGCAGGTCTCCTGTGGGCCCCCCTCAGCCTCCCCGGCTGGGGCCTCCCCCTCTGGGAGTCGTGACCGGGGAGGGTTCTCCACCCACCTCCAAGGTGTGAGCGGGCCGCATGTTGGCGGGCCGCGGGGTGTTTGGGGCGCGCGGCATTGACGCGTTTCCGCTGGCATGAATGAATAATGAGGAGGGAGGTGGGAGGAGAGAAGGGAGGAGGGAGGGAGGGGGAGGAGGGGAGGGGGGGGAGGAGGGAGGGAGGGAGGAGGGAGGGAGGAGGAAGGGAGGAGGGAGAGAGAGGGAGGTGGGAGGGAGGAGGAGGGAGGGGAGGGAGGGGGAGGGAGGGAGGAGGAGGAGAGGAAGAGGGGGAGGGAGGGGGGAGGGAGGCCGCCCGTGGCTGGAGCACGTGGCTGGAGAGCGCGGCACGTGAGCTCCGCTCGGGCTCGGCATCCTGCTGCACATAGGGGGGCAAGCAAACCTGCCTCGCTTTTGGCCAGGAGGAGGAGGAGGAGGAGGAGGAGGAGGAGGAGGAGGAGGAGGAGGAGGAGGAGGAGGAGGAGGAGGATAGGGGGCAAACAAACCTGCCTCGCTTTTGACCACCCTCGCTTCCAAGAGGTACCAAGCGATGCCAAACTGCGGCCTGTGCTGCTCAGGCCGCTTGACGGGGGGGCGCGTGGTATGACTTGGTTTTGCCTGGAAGCGACAGCGGGGTAGGTATAATTCACGCTCTGAGTACAGCCGGACCTAGGACAGAATAGTATCCTTCAAGAACACGAGACCTTCCGCCGGCCAAACTGGAAAACATTCGAGGGTACCCTCCACCAGGATGCACAGACACTTCCAACGACAACGAAGGACAAGAGGGTGCCTTTCCTGAGCTTGGCTCGATCTCATACCGCGGTCCGACTGCAAGGATTCGGCTGAATTCCTGGCTGATCTCACTGGAAACTGTACATCGGTGAGCCTCAGCGGGGGGCTTTGATAAGCAAGCGGGACGCTTACATTGACGGACAAACCTCCACCCGGTCTTATCCCCAACTCTCTACCAGGAAGGAGGGAGACGGAGGGGCGGGGGACGAGGGACCAAGGAGGAGCAGGACCGCCCGCGGCCAGGGCCATCGCGGCGAGCAAGAATCTGCACCTACGAGCTTCGCAGGGACCAGTCCACATCGAATCGGGACATCGGGTCGGCTCGGAACGTGCGTCGAGTCGGACCGCGTCAGTACGGAGGCGAACTCGACTTGCATCGGCCGTGCCAGGATGCGGGGCCCAAGAGGAGAAACACGAACCGATCATTCGAGTCTTCCGCCGCAAAGAGGCTCCCAGGAGGCCCCAAGATGCCCCTAGGAGAGCCCGAAAGCCCAAGAGGCCCCCTAGAGGCCCCACGAGGCCCCCAAGAGGTCCCAAAAGAGCCCCGAGAACCAGATTTGAAAATGAGGCTGTCGCCGTTGCGCCACGCACATCCGTCTTGCACGTTTGCAGCCGTTTCAAGGAGGGAGTGCGGTTCCTTTCCGAAATGTGGCCCTCGCATCAGCGCCGCGCACACTCGTCTTAGAAGTTTGCAGCAGCTTGGAAGGCTCGCATGGTGAAGTCCCAGGACTGATGTTTTGGCGCGGTTTAGGATTGCCAGGACGAAACAATGACGTTGAGTCGCGATGTTGAAATCCAAGGCATGGTGCCCTGCCACGACTTGAGATTCTGAGGGCGCAACAGCCACGTTGACTCGCGGCGTCGAAATCCAAGGAATAGTTTTGTTGGCACGATTGGAAATCTCAGACGGTTATCTTCCAATGGGCCGCTTCCCGCAATGAACGCAGGTTGTGCTCGGGCCTATGAAAATTGAACCCCGAGGGAGGGTTTTATGCAGCATCGTTGGTGCGTCTTTTTTTCCCGTGCGCGCGTACAGAGGGAACTCAGGGCCCCGTAGACCCGGACACGCTAGACCCGGACACCCAACATCCCTCGAAACCAATTTTTCCAAACAGCGGCACGAACAAAATATTGCACTGCAGCATTTCCAATATAAATTCGGACACAGGCCTCAAAAGCCTGCAAAACCCCCTTAAACCCAGACACAATCCCGAATCCTGCAGTGCAGTAAACAAAACATGCACGGGTGCTGAAAAACGTGACTTTGCAGGAAAGGATGCCGTTTCCTTGGTTTTCCGTGTCCTGGTTTATCTGTGTCCTGGTCTCTGGGGGCCTGAGGAACGGGGCACCAAGTTGCGCCGGAAACTGCGGCACGGGACAGATGTCCAGGTCGCATGCGCGAGGGGGGGGCGCTTCTCCGCTCACCCCTCTCCTGATGAGCGCGTTTTCCACCACCACCACCATAAGTTGGATGGGGCGAAGGGGGAGGAGGAGGAGGAGGAGGAGGAGGAGGAGGAGGAGGGAGGAGGAGGAGGAGGGAGGAGGAGGGGGAGGAGGGGGGGAGGAGGGCGGAGGAGGAGGAGGAGGGGGAGGAGGAGGGGAGGGAGGAGGAGGGAGAGGAGGAGGAGGGCGCTTCTCCGCTCACCCCTCCTCCTTCCTGCGCCTCCCCCCCCCCGTCCCGCCCCCGGGGGCGCTCCCAGGACCGACCTCAAAAAACGAGCTCGGCGTGGGGTCCTCTCCGGCGTCGGGAACGTCAGACACCGCAGTGCTGCTCGTGTCGTTTCGCCCCCCCCCCCCCCCCCTAAGAGGCAACTACTGGGAGGTTTTCGTCGGAAAGACTAAGGAGGATTAAGCCCCATTTGGAAGCTGTTATGCCGGAGTGGGCCTCGGAGTAAGCAGGTTCAGCCGGATTAAGCGGGATTAAGCGGGATTAAGCCGGATTAAGCGGGATTAAGCGGGATTAAGCCGGATTTCGGACCAGGGCGAAAACAGAATTTGACCTCCCAGGAGTTGCATCCGAAGGAAACGTCAGACACCGCAGTGCTGCTCGTGTCGTTTCGCCCCCCCCCCCAGGGCCGCCAATTTTACCGACTGAGGCGATCTTACTGAAAAAAACTACGAAGCGTCAATCATCGTTTCCTTCTCGCACTGCTTCTCGTCGTTGCCACAGGCGTCGACTGAGAAGGAAACCGTGTTGGTTGTTGTCATCCTGCAGGCGTCGAATGGCATGGCATTCGCTGGAATTTGAATATTGTTTGTGCCATGTTCAAAGATTTTGCGCGTCACACGGTCGCAACATGTCAACTGATCGCGATGCCTGCCATGCTGTGCCGAAATGTTCAGTGTATCGGCTTCTGCATTGGCCATGGCTGATGACTTGAAACAAATGTGAAGGATGTAAGAGCCGAGCCTGTCATCGTGTGGCCAACCACATACTTCATTTACAATACCCAAGAAGCTCAGGCATAGCATCACGAGCGCCTTGCAAGTTCACCATCGCGGCCTTCTCAGCGCTCTCCCTCGGCGACATGAAATACGTCGTAGCATGCCGCTCGAGACATGCGGCCTGGAGAGATGCCATCGATCCTTCACCGTTGTAAAGGCGGGCGGCGCAAAACATCGCCTGCGTAGGGATACGATGTAGACGGTCAACTGCATGAGCATTCCTGGGTGTGCCAGCCGAGTACGCGGAACAGAGCTCTTCTCTGTATGAGTTCCACCGCTCCCCGCTGTGACGCGGACCGTTCAACATCTCAGGATGGATGTATGTGGGCATCACCCTTTCGAAACAGAGCATGCGTACAGGCCGAAAAATGCCACCAACCACCTGGAGAGTCTCATAGATACCCCCTCCCTCCGATGTCATAAACGGACGGGATGGGAATCAGTTCTGGTGGCTTGGCATGGGCTTCTCCTGAGGGTAACCAGGAAAAGCTGTTGAAATAGATGTTTGCGATGACCATTGCAACACCGGGGCGAGACCGCTTCTGATCGTGATGCCAAACAGCCATCCTGCAAATAAGAAAGGCCAACAATAGAGAGCGCATCCGAAAATAATGTACCAAACCATGCAACGCCACAATCCCATGTCTTCACAAGTGCGGGGGTATCCATGTTCTTTTTGTGGTTGATGATAAAGGTTAGCACCGTTTCTCCTATTTGACCTGCGCAACGTACAGCGCGGGCGCGGCCGCAAGAAACCCTCGCAAGAAACCCAACCTGGAAAACACGCGCGCGGGGTGCACCCGAGGGAAATCCCAGAGCACCCTGAACGCAGCAGCTTCTTCAACGGCCGCGGGAAGTCGCCGCGCAGCTCGCGGAGCGACGAAACCCAGGATACCCTGACGAAAAGCATCTGGTTTCTTGATGCGCGCCCCCACTGTATCTTTGCCGATGCAAGGCGCAGACATTCAATCGGTCCCAATAGATGGAGACAAGGCCAATACGTTTCCAGGCGTCGTCAGCATTCGGCCCTGTAAAGACAAGAAGACCGTATGATTTGGCACCACGCCATAGAACAGTGAGAAGTGGTTGCCCGTCTGCCAACAATTCCATACTATAAGCCCATGCGATGCAGACATCGTTGATCATGCCCTTGAGAAAGCACACAAGTACAACGGTCTGGACAGCTTTCTTTGCAACCTCCTTAGCACGTTCAGGGATGCAGCTTGAGCTCGAGTTCGCAAGGCTGGGTGGCCCAGCAATCTTGAACTGAATCATAGCACTAATGAAGCAAGTGATCACGATCATGAAGAAAGGCAGTTGGGCTCGAGCTGGCACGAACGATGGTATGTCAAGTTCATATCCAGGTACGCCCTCAAGGTGCACACGCCACATTAGACTAATCAGCCCGCCATATCCAACGTTGTTTTACATGTTTACTCCCACGTTGCAGAAATACTTGCTAGTCCTTATGATGGCATCAACCAACCAATTAATTGATGGGCAGGTCTGAAGAGTCGTTTGAATTGATGTCTGAAGAGTCATTCGAGTTGTGGCGAACTGGAGGACCCTGCTCTGAGCCTCCTGTTGCGGAAGTACGTGATTCCATCTCAAGACGCTTTCACCAAATGGGCTACAGTGAGCTGAAGGCTTAAGAAGACAAACAATTGAGATCCAACTTGGCTTGAGCCAACATGGCTACGGAGCATCGTTGATGCGTCTTGGATTTAAGCTGGTCCTCCTCCGCCTCCTCCCGCATCTCAATACTTGGTCCTTTCTCGTCTGAATCCTTCCTCCTGCCTCCTGCTCGATCTGTCATCCCTCCTGCCTCCGCCTGTCCTCCCCTCCTCCCTCCCTGCAAGTATCGTGCTTCCATCTGAGATGCCAAATGAAGAGAGAAAGCAACTTCGCTGGCCGCGGCGAGCCTCAACAACCACTGGCACGCCCGAAGTGGATACGGAAAACATGGTAGGATGCCCAAGAACAAATGCTGTCTAAAACCGACAGCGGCAGCTGTTGGGCAGGCGGCTTGTGCTTAAAACGGACGACAACACGCGCGGCGACGCCGACAGCTAACCCTGTTCAGAATGGACAAGAGCTCTTGTCAAGTTTCGTGCCCGTGATTTCCGAACCCAGCTCGCCGCCCCAAAACAAGATCTCAGGATCGGCCCGAAAACCGGAGTGTCTCCCGAACTCAAACGGGTCTGTCTTTCAGCGGCCATGACTGAAGGGGAGAGAGAGAGGAGAGGACGAGGACGAGGAGGTCGTAGAGGAAGGATGCTGATAATGATGAGTGGATGAGCAGACGAATGCATGAATGTATGGACGGAACGCTCGGGAGGGGGTCGGTGCGTCGTTGTGCCGCAGCGTTCGAGAGATGAGTGCGCTGCCAGGATTGTACACGGAGTGCCCCCCCGGCGTGACTTGGAGGAAGGGGTGAGGGACTAGAATTACGTCAGGTTCGCGTGGCGATGTCGTCGGCGTTGGTTCTTGACACCGCGTCGATCGTTCAACCTTGAACGATCGGCGGCGTTTCGATCGCCCGATCGTTTAACATCGAACGATCATGGGCCACCAGCGGCCTTCAACCTTGAACGCCCGCGGCGGAGTCGCCAACGCGTCAACGCCGCACGAACCTACTGTACTAAGCCCATCGCCATGATGAGGGGAGGAGGGAGGAGGGCGGAGAGAACGGCTTGGACGCCCTGGCGAGAGCACGCTCTGCAAGACTTCCTGGGGAGTGTGCAACCGGGCAAAGGGGGCGACTTTCGAAAAGGAGGACCCACCGCCCTGGCAGCAGGCGAGGGCAATATATATATATATATAGATATAGATATCGGTGTGTGTGTGTGTCCACGTATCCAATGCGTCGAGGATGTTTTGGCAGGGGGCGCCACAATGCCGAGGCGCACTGCATGTGGACAAACATCGAGCCTCTAGAGGCCGAACTTTTATCAACATCCAGTGCGCCTCGCGTCTCTGGTCGGCGGCGAGCGAGAGTGGGAATCGAGAAGGAGAAGGCCTTCTCAGAAGGCTGCGGGACTTCTCAGAAGCCCTAGCGCCTTCTGAGAAGCGTTCTGTGTCTTCGAGGCAGGCTTGGACAACTTCTCAGAAGGCGGGGGGGGGGACTTCCGAGCCTTCTGCGAAGGTCTTCTCCTTCTCACTTCCCCCCCCCCCTCGCTCGCCGCCGATCTAGGGGCCGAATTGTGTATCCTTGGGACTCGGGGGAAGGGAGCGCGGAACTCAAGGCTGCAGTGGATATACACCCTGCGAAATGCTCAAGAAATCATGGGTTCAGAAATTCATAGTCTAAGAACTTGAACAAAAACCCAACATTTCTGCTAAAATCTTAAGATTTACATTGAAACGATAAGAATAATCGAGGCTCTGGCCGAAAACTTAAGTTTTCTTAAGCATCGCCTGAGGTGCAGGCACACAAGTCTGGCCCGCAACAGGCAGGGAGGAGCGCGCGGCTCTCCCTCGCGGGGCCGACCCCCCCCCCCCGAGGCGACATCGGCGCTCTCGACGCATCCTCGAGTCTACGAAACGCATACACCCTGCGAAATGCTTAAGAAATCATGGGTTAAGAAATTCATAGTCTCAGAACTTGAATAAAAACTCAACATTTCAACTAAAATCTTGGGACTCACATTGAAACGTTAAGAATAATCGAGACTCTGGCCGAACACGTGAGTTTTCTTAAGCATCGCCTAGGGTGTACGCAGAATGCTCGCAGATATCCAGAAACGCCCCAGGTATCCTAGTTGCCGTAGGCTCGACGGACAAGAACGAGATGGGGGCCAATCAATTCTGCAGTCGATCTCCTACCCGAAGGCGGGGATGAGGGGCAACGATTGGGGGGACGGGCATAGGGGGGAACTCGTCGACCAGGAATCGGCGATACGTCGCGGATAGATCGGCGATAGGCCCCCGATCGTGAATCCGCATGTTTCTGGTCAAATTTGGGCTATCGAGCCCATATCGGCGATCAATGGGCGATTGGGGGTCGATGCATCCCCCCCGTGCCTATCCTCCTCCGTAACTGGGGAAACTCAAAGGCACTAATACCGCTCCTCCAGGAACTGTCTCCTGGGTGCGTCCTGAATCAGAATTTCTGAGCGGATCCAGCCGTGGCGGCGAGGGCCTCCCAGGAGGCCCAAAACGGCGTGAACGAGAAAGAAGGGTCGAGAAAGGGCAGCGGCATCGACAGACGCATCCCCCCTTCTGCCCACCCCCCTCGACCGTTGCCCCTCAGGGGAGGAGCGCGGCGCCTCCTCACGCATCACCTTTTCTGCCCCCTGGTGCCTATCCCCCCCTTCTGCGTGTCCCCCCAGGGGTCGACGCATCCCCCCCCCTTGGATGTCCCGAAGCGGTGCGGTTGCACACCGTGCGGTGACCTCGAAACCCCGAAACCCCGAGAGGTCTCACAGCACAGCCCATCACCGCACGGCTTTGGGACCTCGGAGCCCCCGATCGCCTGCAACATCCTCGGAGAACGGCCCCCGTGCCCCAGAACGGTGCGGTCGCCCTGGATCCACACAGACTCATCACACCGCATGGTCCCCGAGACGTTTGGGGGCCACCGAGGCCCC